TTCCAAAAATTCAATTCAATTAAACTAACACCTGATGAAAGCCTATCTTGCATGATTCACAAGAATAAGGCATTTGCAGTAACTTCTCCACCCATTCTGACAGCCACAGACATTTAAAACCAGAGTGACTGTGGACTTGCAACACTGCTTTCCCTGATGCCGCTGCAGGTGTTTCCAGGGCAGCCTCATCCCTCTCCCTGGGACATTTTAACCCAGCTTCTTGGCATGGATGTACTTTCACAATATTGCTCCCACTGTATTTCCCATGCTGGGCTTTTTGCTACGATAAGATAGTATTTCTGAGGCCTTAAGGTAAAAGAAAAACTTTACTACCTGCCTCCTTTCCCCAACCTTTCCCCACCCCTGACTACACATCAGCAGCAGACTTTGGTGAGAGGACAAAATTTGAGAGCCTTAGTTTTCAAAATTTTCTTCTTGCCAATTATTCTGTGAAGCCTTGGCCAAAGTTGCAAATTTTCTGAGCTTCTTTGTCCTTATATGCGAACTGAAGATCATTGTATTTTTCATGGATGTGGTAAGGATTAGCAATAGTATTTATAGTTGGATATCTCAGTCTCTATCTTTCTTCTGTAAACTTCCTAAGATACTATCACCTGGCACAGAGTAGACATTTATTAAATAATAGCAACTCTCCTATGGCTAGGTGTGTGAAAGGACATGGGTTTTATGGTCCTGGGCTTGAAGCTCGGCCCTGTTACCAGCAAGTCATTTCATGTCTCTGAGGGTTGGTTTCCTCTTTTGTAACATGAAAATGATACCTCCTCCCCAACATATATATGCACACACAAATACACCCAGGTTTGTGATACCTCGTGGTCATATGGAGCCAAACCTACCAAGGTTTGAGTCCCAGCTGTGGCACTTTGTAGATCTGTGACCTTAAAGAGGTTACTTGATTTTTGGTGCCTCAGTTTCCCCATCTAAAAAAAGGTTGTTGTGAGGATTAAATGAGTGAACATACGTAAAGCCCTTTGACAAAATAGTTCACATTGTAAACACTACTTGTGTTAGCTATTTTTACTATTATATTTTAACGTAATAGATGTTTCACAAATGTTAATTCTTTATATCACCACTTCCCTAACCATATAATTTTAATCCAATTTAGACTATATATAATGTCTCCATAAACAGTTTGAATCATAGATTCATTTTCTTGATGTGTACACTTCTTACTTAGCTTTTAATACCCTGAGAGAGGATCTTCTGAGGCACCACAATAGTTTGCACTCAGGGCTTCCTCTGTAGTTCCTTAGAGATTCAGAAGCCACAACAGAATGTATAGGAGGTTATTTTCTTAAAATCAACTTTTGAAAACCTACAGAGAGCAATATGTCTTGAATTTTTTTACTTTTTCAACATTTATTTGGTTAACATTTTACAGCACGGAAAACCTTGCCCTGATCTCTGAGGCTCCTTAAAAATCAACCCTTTTACACTAAAGGGAGAGCAAGTTCAGTTCACTGGGCTCTTAACCTTAATTACCTTTCCTGCAGATCCCTTCAAATTAAACCAGAAGCACTCTGACTTTCACATGAATGCATCCATAAACCCCTGCATCCTCAACCTGCCCTCTCTGTTCTGATGGTATAACTTGCTCTCCTTACCTTTCTGACAGGAATTCAATAAGACTTACCAAGTGCTCATTACAAAATCAGAGCAGAACTGGAAGCACCAAGAGTGGTGAAATAACACTAACTAAAATCCTGCCTGGGAGGGTCTGGAAAGAAAGTTACTGGTTTGGGTTGCAGTGGCTGAGAGATGCCTGATGGCTGAAGTTAGTCTTGGCCTAAATTTTGAGAGGCTTTTGCAGCTAGAAGGGTGCTTTCATTTCTTCATCATTTTACAGATGAGACAAGTAAGGCCAGAGATTAAGTCACTCGCCCAAAGTAATGCATCTAGCTACTGAAAAAACAGAAAGTCATCAGGATTAAAAACCCAAATCCCCAAAAGAGCATCCAATGCTTTCTCTGTAAAGCACACCACGTTTGAGTAAGTACAAAGCCTCAGAAGGGCCTTCCAGTCAGGGGGAGGAGTGCAAAGTGGTAATAAACATCTTTTCTAGGCCTGGCAGCCAAGAAGGCAGTGCGGGACTGGAGCAGAGCAACATGGATCAGGAGGGTGGAGCCACACCTCGTTCAGCAGCACAATTTTATCCTGAGGAACCTCCAAGCAGTGCTAGGATGAAATTAATGGCCTATGATTTTTCAAGAAAGATAACTTTTTAAAACCTTAGTGATTCATCACGTATCAATGTTACCTATAAACTTCAAAAAACATGCTACTGAGTGAATTATTTGATGCTATTATCTTGCTAAGTGTGCTGTTAGAGGATCAGACATAGTTTACAGAGTTTAATATGACATAATTTAATGAATTCAAAATCTAAACTTTGTGGTTTGGAATTTTCCTCTGTTCCACTAAATAGTGAGCAAATTTCCACATGAATTCAGATAGTATCCCTTAGATTGTAAGGCCATAAAATCAAAGATAGAATTGTAAGAGGTTTAAATTGTTCTGTCCATTAGCTTGGATCCCAACCCCCCAAACGTATAGCATTATGAATGCCCTCTAAAGTATGAGAGTCCCCAGTGATGTGTAACGAAATTCTTAATGCTACCGGGGAACAAGGAGCAATTTTTCTTTTATGAACAATGAACATGGGATACAAGGCCCTAAGTGAGCAGCACTAAGTGCACCACCTGCTGTCAATCAATATTTTGACCATTAATGTCATTTAAGCTATTAGTCCAATTTAAATGAATATCGTCATTTCTTAGCTATTAAACCAGTTATAGATTCCAATCCTTGAATTTTGAAATAATGAGAGCCATAGAATGTCATGAGACACAATTATCCATTACTATTCCTCCTGAAGTAAAAATACAGTTATAATGATGTCACTGATTTTCAAAAGCATCTTAGGACCCTTCATGTCAGAAAAAGAAGACATTTTTCAATAATAGATTATTTGTAATTGGAGTATCAGACTTATCTCCAATGAACAGAGAATCAAACCAAACACTACACATGATTTTTCTTGGCCTGTACAACCCTTCGTATGACGTCTTAAAGTTAACAACTTGGAAATTGTTTCTAACAATAACTGTAAGAGAGCAGATAAATGTTCTGTTTGATAACATTTCCCCTCACTTTTCTTTAACTGCTCATTTCCTAAGCCCCTGATCCTTAGAATTTTTAAGTTGGATTCCTGATATACTGATAAAATGCATTAACATCTATTGTGTCTTCTAAAGGAAATTAGATACATTTCAGCATAATACCAGCAGAAAGGCAGGATGTCTTAGTAGAGATGGAGGTTGAATTCCAACTCAGCAGCTGATTACATGACATTCACCTCAAAAAGTTTTCCTTTCCTTGCCTGTGAAATTAAGATGTTGGAATTATCATCTCTAAGACTCCTTCCCAATTCAGGAATTTCAAATTCATTTTTAAGCACTGGGCACTTCATTCACTTGGCATTTCCTTTCCCCTTCTCATTTAAATGTGTTTATTAGCATGTCCAGTCTTGTTCCCCTGTTGTAGTCTCAGATTATTTTATCACTGACAGAAAGTCCCTAATAAACATTTCAGATATAACATTTAGATCATCCCTGAAGAAGAAATATGATATGTCATTAATGCCATCCGTATGGACTATTTTCAGAGACTATTGGTAAGAGTTCCTGTATGATAAACAGGAACCAACCTTATTAGACATGTGTATAAATGTATAAAAGCACATGGACCTTGCTATGAATGGCTGTTCAATTTTGGGGAAGTTACTTCACTGTTCTGAGATTTAGTTTCCTCCTCTGTAAAACGAGGGAGCTGGAGAAGATAACCTTTAAGATCCCCTTAAATTTCAACAATTATAATTCTATACCAACAAAAAAATTAAACAACACTAAAAGTATTTTCATTGATTTATATAGTTTAAGATAACTCAGGGATACTCAGAATTCTAGTAAAGGAATAGTTATGCATTTATATGCACATTTTCATAATTTTTTTGAAGCTTATTTATTTATTTTAGAGAGAGAGACAGCACAAGTGAGGGGAGAGGCAAAGGGAGAGGGATAGAGAGAGAAGCAGACTCCGCGCTCAGTGTGGAGCCCAACACAGGGCGATCTCATGATCCTGAGATCATGACCTGAGCTGAAATCAAGGGTCAGCCGCTTAACAAACTCAACCACCCAAGCGCCCCTGTTTTCATAATTTTTATAATCATTTTACTTTGCATTGTTTCAGAATTTGCTTTCAATAGCTTACAAATAAAATGTTCGTGAAAGAACAGAAATCAGACAACTTAATCCCACTCTTATAAACCATAAACCTTAAGAATAGCAATTTAAAGAAATGCTATCTGAACTATTGTGCAATACACTAATATTATATGACTTCAACCGCAACTTAAAATTATTTCATGAAGTTTTGAGAATTAAAGGTAATCTGGAATTTTTTTCAGGTTCAAAAATAAAAGTTGCATTTATGTACTGTGAGTACGAAGTATGGTTGAATTTTAATAAATCGCCAAAATTTAATCAAAAGTTTTACAAAACAGTATCTCCATGATAGATAAACTGAAATTGGCAAAATGAGTCATAGTTTAATCAAACTCAGTGCTGTGAAGAAATCTTTTCTTATTAGAAGAAGGTTTATAATTTTAAAATCTGTATTGTTTTGCAAAACCATATATAGCCCTTTAATATAATGCCAAGAATTACATTGTTCCTGGCTTCTCAGATTACATCCCATACCCTCATTGATTATTTATTAGCCAAGTCGAGAGAAAGAAAGATCGTGGTTCACTGTTGATGGAAAAGGGCAAATGACTGCCGCCCAGGGCTTTACAGCTGACAGAATCACTTCCTTTCTCTTCGACTTTCTCTTCAACATGATTATGTTTTCCCCTCAAAAGAGAGTTTTGTGCTTTAAGACCCTCAATACAAAGGAATTTCACTCTGTGCTCTGAAGAGATCAGCACATCAGTCTCCCGAAAGAAATTGTACTGCTTAGCCTAAAACTTTTAGTTCCTAGTTTAAGTATTTCTCACAGTGGAATTCGGTTAAGGCATAGAATTTCTCATGGTCTCAAATCATGACTGTACATTGTTATCATCAGGACATCCCATGGTTAGCATATAAAATGTTCATTGATTCTGTTCCCTGAACCTCAGGGATATAAATGGCTTCAGGACTTCCAAAAAGGAAAAGAAAAAAAAAAAAAAAAAAGACTTCCAAAATGAGGGAAACAGAATATAAAAGTACATTTCTTTGCAATAAATTATAGCAATGCCCCACCTGTTTTCACTGTATTCAAAATTCCGGTCCATTACCAGGCTGAGATCAGAACGGTAATGTGAAAGTGAGTAAGTTTTAAAACTACTAGTGTCTTGCATTTTACTTTCAAAGATGAGAGTACAATATGGATAATCTCTGTCACATTTTATCAACTTTCTGAAAGGCATGACATGGTAAATTGCACAGAGAGAGTAATATTTGGGGAGTTTAACATGTTAAATGCTTTTCCACATCTTGCCTCCTCTCCCCCCAACAATGGTACATAACAAATAACATTAAAATGACAAGAATTATAAATTAGGAAGTCTGAAATCAGCCTAAGACATGAAAAGTATTGCATAAAGAAACTCTCTTATAAGAAAATAAAATATTGCCTATATAATTAAAATTGGATACAATCATTCCAGTAGGAGGGGTGGGATATGTTTCTGAACATTTCCTTCTTGAAACTAGTTGACAAAAGAGGATTTACTCCATACATTTTTAAATGATGTTATTTCTAGAACTTTATAATGCTTATCAGTTCCTCCTATGAAAGATGGGCTGCTCTTTGTGACTGTGGAGCCATGACTTCCCAATATCTATCATTACAAAAACAGTTTGCTCGGTTTGACTCCCCACATGACAATGGACTCGCAACTGTCAACAGAATCACATTATGGATGCCATGTGAGAACATGACTGTGACATTTACTCTTGTGACAGGGCAAATTTCGGCAGCTCATCTGGAAAGAGATGAGCATTCATAATGCTGCGGCACCTTTCGTCAAGCTAATGACATTTCAATCAGCACATTTTCTCCAGTTTCAATACTTTGCCATCTGAGCACAAGTCTCTAATTACGCCCAAGCAACAAGTTTCACATCAATCCTACAATTTCTGCACTCACCATACACCATTGCTCCTCCGGTTTCATGCAAGAAGCGAAATCGATGATTTTTAAATAACCAGATTGTCAAAATGGTAAGGATGAGCAAAAAATTAAAGGCAAGCAGCTCCACCGCTCCCTGATGTTGAAACTGATACTCATCCTTCTCTGACATAAACCTTTGCTGTCTCTCCATTCTCCAGTCTTCTTGGGATTCCTTAGATAAAAACCTGGATAAGAGCTATTTTATCAGGATTTGCCTAAGACAGTCTGGCTGCCTGAAGATTTCAGAATAAACACTGCCACTTAAGTTGCTACTTCATGAGCGTTCTGCCTTGGCTTAGTATTCAGATGGCTTCTAGTTACAACTTCCTGTTTCTCTCTTAAAGCAGCCCTGTCTCTTTTCAAACTCCAGAGTGTAGTTTCATCATGGACTCTTACTATCTTTAAACGATTCATTCCACGAAATTATCTTTCATGTTGGACAGACCTACAAGCAATCATTCTGAGATCTTGAATCATGATTCTTACTGTCTCAAATAAGCTCCTGAAGCTGCATAAATGGTAAATTGTAGATTAAGAATAAAACAGATCACCTTTCATCAGTAACATTTTCTAAGTTCAAAAAGCTAATTCCCGAATCATAACCTCACTCATATGTCAGATTTGTCCTCTCCAACCAAAGTCTACCAATGTAATAGGGAATGATTGATACCTCTGATTTGACCTGAAATGATCTCACAGGAATTTTCTTTTAAGTTGAGAAGCAAGAAAGAATTTAATATATGATTCTCTCTCTCTTTCTCTGGCTTTATATAACTGGTAGTCTGAACTACCAGTTATATAAAGCAGCGTTTAAACTCTGAATCAGTTGTTTCCCTTTTAACAAGAATAAATGAAAGCAAAAGACAAAAAGAAAATCCTGTTCCCATTTCTACAGCTGTGCTTTTTGGATATGTTGAGTCAAAAAAGAAAAGACACTGAACACATATCTCTGAAGGAAGAAACTATACGGCCATCCTCAGTAATATCTCATACATGGATTTCTCTTTATAGGGTTTCTGGCCCAGACTTTCAGGATGCACAGAAATCTGCCACAGATCACAGACCTCTGTCCTGTGGCAAAACAATGTGGTTAGTCACTGAGGAATAGTCTGCCATCAGCTACGAAGGCTCCAGAAATCACAAGGCTCAGACCATAACAGTGATGATTCTTCAGATCACCTTCCATTCGGCAGGCTGGTTCTGTGTGAATTTATATTTTTATGCCGTTTGAAAACATTCAAGACAATACTACTACCGGGGGCTCTGCTGCTTTTTGAGCAACTGCTATGATTTGTTTGCCTTATTGGTTCTACAGTGCAATTAGATACATTCAAGGGTTCAGTGAGTTTTTTCTTCATTTCATGGTATTATTGAAACTCAGAGGAGTATAAATCACTTAGTATCCCCATACATGACAGAACTGGTATTCAATTTATACAGTGTAAATGATTCCTTGAGAAGGAGTCCAAATATATCCTCCAAAGTTCTTGTCACCAAAAGCTAAAGGTCATACATGTATCATATTGGGAACTAACTAGCTCCTCAGTAACAGTTTCACCCACAGGAAAGCCTATCAACCACTTACTGTAAAACTGCTGTTTCAGCTTCTTTGCCTTCTGCAACTTTTGAAGCTGATTTCCTCACCGCGTTTAATTCAGCAGGGGATATTTATGTGGGCTGCAGATGTTCTTTTAACATACTACCTTTTTTGGCAGGCATATCTGGGATGACTAATATTCAAACTGTTTTGAAATCTGTCAGGTAATGCTTGCAAGAATTTCATGAAGCTTTGTTAGCAGGTTCTACCTTTATAATTTTGCAACTCCACAGGTTTAGTCTTAAGTTGCTAGATTTACAAGATATCCCAAATTCAAAGCCTGACAATTCCATATCATTTTTTTTCTGTTTCGATAATCATTTAATTGCTTTGGTTTCCTTTTAATAATGGTGATTATTCCATCTGAGTAGAAAAAACTTTCTTTTGTTGTCTTATTATGACATCCAATTGCACTCTCTTCCCCAGTAAAACAATTGAATGAGAGGATTAAAGGTCCTTGGAATATTTTGATTGGCTAATACATTGTTTTCAAAAGTCCTAAATTGGATGTCAACGTATTCAAATAAGTATATTTCACATTAAAAATTATACACATGGTTTCTCTAGAAAAAAAAAACTGGTAGGATCTGGTACACTTTGGGGTCTCCTTCCCATGTAGCCACAATCTGTTAGTGCCTGTTTGCCACAAGTCCCATTCATCCCATTTCACTCATTCATGTTTCCTGCATAGCCCCTGCAGTCATTTGAATATGTGGCCCCTGGTTTACTCTAGGATTGGAATACATTCACTGTTCAATTGTCCAATCCTGATGCTGCTTATCATAATGATGGAAAGCTGAGAAGAGGGGACTCAGAAAACTTCTCCAATTCTTTAAATCAGAGAAGTACTTCAATTTTTCCTATTTTGTGGGGTTTTTTCCTCAGAATATCATTTTATTTTCTGCTGCACCAATAAAAGTTAAGAAAAAATGAAATAGGAACACATATTAATGTGGCATCTACTATGGACCAGGAAATATTCTAGAAAATTTAATTTAGTATAATTTAATATTCATAAAAACCCTTCTACAACTGAGAAATTTAAGGCTCAGATAGAGTTGGTAACATATCCAAGGTTGCACAACTAGTAGAAGAAGCTAAATTTATGTCTGGGGTTTAATGGCCTTAAGGTGGCATCTCAGCCAGGGTGATTAATTCATGTTGGCTTGTCAGGGACTTTCCTGGTTTTAGCAATGAAAGTCCTGTATCCCAAGAAACTCTTTACTCACAGGCAAACCAGTCATCCTAACAGTCAGGGTCCCAAATGTGAAAATCCTGTACTGTCAATAATAACTGTTCTTTCTGACATTCCTGAGGGAGAATTCACACAAACAAGAGAATCAATTTAAAATCAAGGCACTGTCTTGTTAGCTGGTGACAATAACCTTCAGTGCCTGGTTCTCTGATGAAGTTGGAATGGAACCCAAAACTTAGGCATAAGGCCCAAAGAAACATTCTTGATTGTTCCTTAATCCCAATCTTAACACCTGCTGGCCAGTGAGTCAAAAGTTCTTGCTGCAAGATGCAACATGCTGGTAAGAGGAAGTAAAGAGAAAAACAAGATGGCCCAGCCCATTGCAGTGAGTATGCCCTGCCTTGGCTTGCCCATCCAGCACCACAGAAGGAAAGACTTGAAGAGAAGAGCCTCCCAGTCCAGGTAACCCTGTATAGCATAGTCATCCCACCTACTAGTCACTGTGACCAGTTAGAACCCATAGACTGCATTTCAGAATCTAAGCAATCATTTGAGAGTCCCTAATTGTTAGAAACACTGCAGACTGTGGGCTCAGAGGATCAAGAAGGATCAAGAAGGATCAAGGTTGAGGAGAAATGCTGAGAGTTCCTCTTTCTCGCTTACTGGAATCCCACCCTGCCAAGTTCTCTCTCAACCATTGGGCTTAATAGGAAATACTTAAATCAACCCATCGTCTCATTCATTTGACCTCTCTCCCAATATTAATCCCTCTCTGAAACCAGTGAGATGGGGTTTGTATATTTTGCCCCCAAAACTTCTGAAATGGGCCAGGGCAGGACTGTAATTAAGTTTACTTAAAGGCCATACAATATCATGAACCAAAAAATCACCCCCTATTCTATTCTCAAACTCATCATAAATCCATCTGTTAAAATAATTAAATAAGGAGACCATTAGGCCAGGGTGGCTCTAATGCATTGGT